AGTAGGGGCTAAAACCTGAAAAAATAATCAAGAGTTATGAGCCAATAAAGGTGCTTATAACTTTAATTTAAATAAATATGTGTGAAAGAGGAATAGAAGCCTTAGAAAGGCTTCCCTGTGCTTGAAGTGGTAAGGTTATAACATGTAGTAGTCTCTCAAGGCTCAAAGATGATTTTAGGTGAGTAAAGGGAGAGTAAAAGAAAAAATGCCAGAGGGAAGCAGCATTCCCTCTGTGATAAATACTTGTTGTAACTGTAATACTATATAAGAATATATAGTATACAGGCTTAAAATCTGCTTATTTAGGATTTCTGTATGTACAGCGTGGAACTGAAGTGTGGAACCTCCAGTGGTGTGACCTGAGCACAGCAAAGACACGACTCCACCAGAGCAGACTGATGGAAGGGTGATGGCTGACAACTAATAAATGCAGTAACTTGGGTGTAACCTATTAAAGCCCTTTTACACTGCTGGAAGCTCAGTGGGTGCCTCGGGGTCAGAGTCCTGCTCTTCCACCATCATGCTGACTATTTTTCTACTGTCAGACTACCAACTTTACGTGTTGCCAATAACTTGGGGAACAATTTAAGTGTATAAAATGAAGGCATTATTCAGCAGCCTGTGCTGACAGCTATCTTTAAGCAGCACATTTATCTAAAGTACAATGATGCTTCAATAGTGGATACCTGTAGAGTGCTTCCAGGGTACTAAAATGAGCTGGATTTTATCTGCAGGAAGGCTACGGCTCACAGCTTATTTGGACAAATTCTTTGCTGCAATAGACCATTTTCTGCTATTACCAGTGAAATAAGCTAAACACCCACTTCTTTTCTTCCACAATGAGAAGCTGTGCATGATGTGATGAATTTGCAAAGCTTTTAAAGAATGGATGAGAGTTAAAAAACTTCCTCCAGGGTCTAAGACACTGCCAAGCAGGACTGGAGTTGCAAAAGGAAGCCGGGAGGGGTACTGCAGCACTGGCAGTGCTGAAGAGGCTCACGGAGCCAGAGCTGCTGCGATGCTGGAGCAGCAGGGCACAGCACAGACAAATTGAAGCATTGACAGATGAAATGCTCTGACTGTTGTGACTCCACAGCCCGTTGTAGCTCAGGTTTCTCTCGTTAAGCTTCAAAGAGTAACAGCCAGCTCGTTAGTGGCATCTCAGGGTCCCTTTGTTTGCAGTGGCTCTGACAAAGGTAACACTGTCTGTAATGGCCCCTCCTGGGACCAAGCTGGGCTGATGCAGGGTCACAGCACATTCATTCTGCCCAGGCAAAAATACCTGGGACTGTGGCAGAAATACCTGGGAATGTGGCAGGCTGTGTGGAGGAAGGGCAGAAGAGCAGTGTCCCTTCCTTGCTGGTCACTGCTGGTGGCTGGATGGACTTCATTCCCTGTTCAAAGCACACAAATCTATATCCTGCCCAATATCTTTCTGATTTTGGGCCTCATTTCAGCTCAGACCTCTCTGTGCAGCTGGGAGCACTGCTCTGGTACAGAATCACGGAGTGGTTTGGCTCAGAAGGGACCTTAAGGCTCACTTGTCCTACCCCTCTGCCATGGGCAGGGACACCTTCCACTAGCCCAGGTTGCTCCAAGCCCTGTCCAACCTGGCCTTGGACACTTCCAGGGATCCAGGGGAAGCCAGAGCTTCTCTGGGCACCCTGTGCTTCACCCCCCACTATGGCAGTGGCCCCCAGATGGGCACCAGTGGTCCCCCCCAGTGGGACCCTGATTAGCCTGAGCTGCTCTTTGTACAGCTCAAACTGGAAATGCAGCTGGAAGTGAGCTATGATGCTCTGCTGCCATAGCCACTGACTGCAGCCCAGACACAGAATCAGGCTGCTGTCAGGGGGAAAAGTGGCCCCCAGCCTTCTGAAGGGGTTGGATAAGCAGTGTGAGGAGCCAGCTTCCACCTGGAGATGATGACCTTTCCTGGGGCCTTGTGCTGGAGCAGGTGGCTGGAGGCTTCATTTAGCTGCAAATGCAGTCAGAGGTATTTATGGTGATGGCCATGAGGCTTTGCAGGGAAGGAAGGAAGAGGCAGAATGGGCTGTGTGAATAAGTCTGAATCTGGGCTTTCCATTCCTGAGATCCACTGTTGGGGTTGAAATAATGCAGGACCAGACCAGCTCCTGGGTATTCCTCTGCTCTACATCCTTGATTGTGCTGGATGGTGGCTATGTAAATATTTCTGCGGAACTCAGCCATTACCTAAGGATGAAAATGCCATCAAATAAGTTTAAAAAAATTGGTTTGAACACCTTCAAATGTGCTACAGGGGGGAAATGCAAATAAAGGAGCATTGGGATCCACTAACCCACTTCTAAGGCATTATCCCAACACATTATTCTTTAAGAACACAAGCCCTTTGGTATGGGAATGAATGGGTTTTTATGACATTGCCACTAAGCACATCACAATTCTGGCCTTACAGTACCCAACCAGGAGTTAATGACTCCTTGGCTCCAACTCAATTAAAGATTTAAAAGGATGAGGTGAAAATGGGATTTCTTGATTTAATATTTTTGTTTCTTAGAGAACCAGAACTTTGGAGTTCCTGTGCCAGGGGCCTAACTGCTCACAAAAGTCTGTTTTTACAAAAAAAAAAAAAAAAAAAAAAAAAAAGGATATTTCTAGAATAATTCTGAGGAGTCTTACCCCTTCTAGTCTGGACAGTGCTCCACGTAGGCATTACTGGGAAATGGAGAAGATAAAAAGAAAAGTGGAAAATACATCTTCCTGGCAGGGACTTGGAATGTTCTCATGGCACAAAAGGTTCTTCAGAAGCAGCAGATTAGAGGGGAAGAGGAGGATTTTTCTTCTTGCAAAACCCACTCTCACAATCCTGCCCTCCCACATGAACCTGCAAGGGGAGTGAGGAAAGAAGATCCACTGGAGGTCTTCCATGTAGTCTTGAGGCATATCCTATGTGCTGAGGAGGGTTTTTACTTCAGAGCAACTTTCCAGAGCTTCCTTGAAGATGATGGATGGGATAATGGGAAAAAATCCTTTACTGTGAGGGTGGTGAGGCCTTGGAACAGCTTGCCAGGGAAACTGCAGATGCCCCATCTCTGGGAGTGTTCAAGGCCAGGCTGGATAGGGCTTGGAGCAACTTGAGAGAGTGGGAGGTGTCCCTGCCCATGGCATGGGGTTGAAATGAGATGAGTTTTAAGGTGCCTCCCAACCCTACCCTTTCTGTGATCCTGTCCCCAGTGGTGGCCTCGGTGGCCGTGTGACACTTCAGCTCCTCTCTGCTCCAGCTGCAGCTCATGCTGTGGCTTCTGCTGCCCTGCAGAGCCAGCTCCCTATTGGGGTTCCCCCTGCCACTATGACCTGAGACTGAAGGAACAGCCACCACCCCGTGCCAAAGCTGTTCTGCTCAGAGAAGCACTGAGAACCCCAGGCTGCACACGGGAGGTTTTTTCAAGCAGGTGGGAAGCTGGGGTGTGACCAACTCTTCCTCTGTATATATTTAAATGTGTATATGGCACAGTGGAAAAAACACATCGTTGATTTCTGAAAGGTGCAGTGTTTCCAGGCCAGGGGATCCCCCCTGCCATCAGGGATGTGCTGGGTGCTGCCACCCAAGGAAGACCTCTACAGAAAGGAGCCCCATCCCCTCCCCTCTTCCCCAGCACAAAGCTTTGATGTAGTGAAGTGAAACATTCTGCTAAGCAAGGACCAGTGTTTGATGCCAACTTTACAAGCAGGAGTACATTAACTCCAGGCTCTCAGGCTGTATTGAAAATGTCACTGCTGTACCATTCACACAGCCCATGTAATTGCTGTGGAGCAGGAGGAGGAGGGTGGCATGGATCAAGGTATAGAAATGATTCCTGCAGCCTGACCCCTCCTCTGCTGCTGTCTCTGTATGAACCTCAGGACATTGCTTCATTTCAATGCTTTGTCTCAGGATGTTCCCATCTTTCAGAGGAGTGGAGAACTTGGCATTTCAGCTGGTGGCTGCTGCTGAAAATTGCAGGAGTTGGACACCCCCACTGCAGCTCCCTGGTGAAGGCTGAGTGGCACAGACACTGCTGCTCACAACCAGAGCTGCTGCCCTGGAGCCCATCAAGGACACTGAGCTCCTCTTTGGTGAGACAGCTTTGTGACGGGGCCAGCTCAGGATGCTCCCCACTGAGGGGAATGGGGAATTAACTCACCACTGCACCTGCCCTGTGGTGTTTCAGCACTGAACAGGTTCACCAGGAATGTCACATTCTGGGTAGGAAGTTTGTGCCGAACAGTTCTGAAGTTTGCACTGTATCTGTGTGGGTTTAGTTTGTAAGAGTTGCCTTTCCTGCAGCCCCTGACACTTCAGACTGTTGAAATTCAACAGGCTGGGGTTGCTGGCTGAATCTCTCACCGGCAGCATCCCAGCTGGACCCTGTGAAGTCCTCACCTCTGGGGGGCCTGCATGCTTTCCCCTGCTGAGAGGGAAAGAAAAACAAGATGCAAACCTGAAATTATCACCTCACCTTTTGGCAGATAGGTGCCAAAGAGACAGGATGCCAGGTTTTTTGACAAATTTTTGACAGCTGAAATACCCAGGTGTAGGGTTATGCTTCATGTGCTGCCCCCTGAGCAGCTGCTGCTGCTGTTTACACTGATTAAGTCAATGTCCCATGGCCAAGAACCAGTGAAATTGTGCCACAGGTGGTTGGCAATTGCACCATGTCCTCATACTACACCTCCAGGGATCTGCTACAGCACCTGCTCAAAGCCATGAGTAATCCCAAAGAGTTATGGGGCCAAAGATCTGTTGAGCTGAACCCATGGTGGGGCTTGGTATTCGAGTATGTTAAAAGATGTAAAAATACTTGGTATTTAGTAGGTTTTTTTACATCTTTTAATAGCCCACTGTTAGGATAAACTTCCCCCAAGCACCACACTCTGCCAAAAATGACAGGGTAAGAGAAAAAAAGTAATCTGAGGGTTGCAAGGCAGCAGTTCAGGCAGAATGAAAGCCTTGAACAAATGGACAAAAGTCTTTGCAGTTTTGGAAAACAATGGCTCTGTAGCCTCACCTTCTGCTCAACGACATGCTCTGCTGCCACAGCTTTAGTGCCAGTCACACCACTCACTCTGCTTCCCTGCCAAAAATCCCTTTTTGGATGGGCGTCAGGAGAGAAATCACGTAGTCCTGCTGTTCTCTCTGAATTAAACATTTGATTTCCCTGTGTTTTCTGGAAGAACCGTGAACAGCTCACGCTGTGTCTAGTAACAGTCCACTTAGCAATTGCATTAAGTGAGTGTATTTACCCCCTTCATCTCCTGAATGTGACTCCTCAGGCACAGCCTGTGCCTTCTCCATCGGCAGAGCTCGGCATCCCTCACCCACAACCAGGGTGCCAAGGCATGAAGGGGCACTCTCCATGGCACACCCCTGGATCTCCACCCACACTGACCGATGAGGGAACACGAGCCCATTCCTAAACCCTTGCACCCCTGCATTTTCCTTACCTCCTTCCCCTTCACGTGGGCAAAAAGCTGGGGAAGCTGTGAGCAGCAAAATTCCAGGTGGGCAGAAGATGGCAGCAACAGCCCAGCAACAGCTCTGCTTCACTGGCTAGGGATTTCCTTTCTTCGGGAACACCGGCGTGGTTTTGCAGAGGAGAGGAGACATTTTCACCCCTTTGGATTCAGGATTGTGATCAAGGCACAGGAGACACCTGGACTGGAAAACCAAAGGAGACGGCTCAGCAGGAAGAGCTGGGTAAGAGAAGGACCATGTAAGCATCACCCAGGCATTGAAAGGTGCTCTTCCAGTCTGGGTGGATCATTAAAGGAGACTTCCAAGGATTTAGATCCTTAGTGCAGATAGATTTTCTGCATCATCTTCCTGATACTGTCCCGTGGGAGGTGGTGGGAAATGGGCAGCAAGCACTGAGGAGCAGCAGTGCTAGGACAGTTTTGGATGTCTTTTTCTTTTAGTCTTTGATCATTGTAGGAAGCTTGCATGGATTTTAGCTTCTGGGTGCAGGTACATGAGGCCTTGTGGATTTTAAGCTTGACACCCCCTTTCCCCAGTGTAAATATTTAGGAAAAATTAGAAACTCACTTTTTTAGCACTTCGTTTTTTCAAGAAACGTGTCAAGTAGATCCTGAACACTCCACTGTGGTGGGGGTGTAGGTTGGGATGGGCTGGCAGACACTGGAAGTGACCTGTGGGAGAGGAGGGAGATGTGAACATCACACTGCCTTGCGTCCTAGATTTAACCTTCCTCTTTTCCTCCATCTTGTACACTTTTTTCAACATGCACATAACTTTTGTTTATTCCTGTTCTTGGGAAGGTTCACTGGGATGGGACTTAAAACACCTTTCAGCTGTGCTGCTGTTTCTCCTCTGGAAGAACTTGGCTAAGACACCTGTGTAAATTCAGTGTCCACGTTTGCTAAAGGGAGACAAAGACTCTTCTTGGTAAAGAGCCTGGAGATGTATCAGTGAAGAGAAGGAACTTTTTCTTACTAATGCAGCATTCAAAGGGGCTGATTTGAAAACAGGGCTGATGCTGTTGTATGGTGTTGCCCAAATACTATAAAAATAAGCAGGTTCTCATGTTAAGGAGGTTTTCAGGGCAAATGGACAGGGCAGAGGGTTTGAAGAGGGGGGGCTGGAGGCACAATCAAATTCCCAGAGCAGGGCTTTCTCCAGGATGTGCCACTACCCTGTCAGTGTTTGTAGAGGGGACAAGGGTGCTGAAGGGGACAGATGAATGATGGGGGAAAGAGAAAAGGGAAAAAAGAAAGGATGCCCTGTCCCAGCTTGGGGGACTTGAGAGGCAACAGGGCCACTGCAGCTCCTCACAGTCCTGCTCCCAGCACAGCCCCCAGGGCACAGCTGTGCATCCCTAGGGGACTGGGCATTGAGCACTGACTTGCTTTCAGTATTGGGTAAATATAAAAATGCTGGGTAAATATTTAGAGTATCTAAGTAGATCTTTGCAGCTTCAGCAATCCACACCAGATGAAAACTTCACAGAGGAGCATTTTGGCTTCCAAAATTTTAATTTTTTTAGAATTAATTAATTTTTTTCGATATTTTTTGAGAGAAGGAGCCTTTGCAGAAGCCTGTGGTAGTTCCCAGCAGTAAAAAAGGGCTGTGTGATGCCATCACAGTGTGTCATCACACTGGTTTTCCCAATGGGGAAACCAAACATTCAGGGGCCATGGGTTGAGTCAGAGCTCGAAGAGCCAGGGGATGAGAGCCCTGATCTGCTGACTCTCCACCCCATGGTCTAACCACAGCTTTGTCCCTTCCCCTCAGGGGATCCCACACTCCAAAGCTGCGCTGCCGCTCGCACATGATCTTTGGAGAAAGCTATTTCCAGAAAAAATAATGTGCTTCTTGGGCTGAAACATCTCATAATAACTCTCTGTCCAGAAGGCAGATGGGAATGCATGTGGGGGAGGGATGATGAGACAAAAAGTTTGGGAGTGGAGAAATCAGTGTGGCTATTTGTTAGAGCTTCCTAAGAGGAAGATCAGAGCCCACACAGCAGCTACCTGACAGCGACCCAGGGCTGGGGTTAGGTGTGGCTGTGCCAGCATGGCTGTCCAGCCCATGTCATGCTAGGTGTGGGGTAGACTTGGCTGGCTGATTGTTCTAGAGGCAGCTCCTGGTTGGCAGTGGTGATCACACCACCTGTGCGTCTTTATCTGGAGTGAAGCGGGGCGTTTGCATGTGAGGACCCTTTTGTCTGGCACCCAGGATCAGGAAGAGAGGTGAATGCCTCTCATAAAACCCTGCCAGAGTTCTAAAGAGCAAGTGGGACTGAGAGGATCTGTGCCCTGATCAGTGCTCCAGCAGACGTGCCACAGTGCAGGATGCACTGTAACTGAATGGGTGTGAGATTTTCTGTGTATCCTCTTTTTCCTTCTAGGATTAACTCCAATAGCTGGTATTTTAGTAGCTTAGGGAGAGAGTGCCTCTCTTACTAGGGTCGTGATCACTAGCCCTGGTGCCTTGTGGTGAAGGGGAGGAGGCTCAAGCTGAGTGCTGGTATTTTTAGATATACCAGGTTGTTACTAGACATCATACACAACTTGGATTGGAATCCTGCAAAAGGTCGGGGGCAAGTGGATTTTAAAATATCAGCTGTGGTCATAGAAGTGCTGAGACTATACTCCCATAGAAAATACAAAGGTGGGAGGAAAAACACCCAATGCACTCCCAGATGCTCAGTATTTCTCAGGCAAAAATCTGCACTCGTGCACAGAAAGCCCTAAACATTTTGGACTGTACCTGCAGACATGACTGGGCACTGGACAGTGGAGGCTTGTGGAGAATTAGCTGTGGGCTGGGAGCTCAGGCTCCTGGAATTCAAGCTGTACATCTGCAGGGCAGTCACGGCGTGGGCTCTGTGTACTCTGTCCTTCACATCTGCCCTTGCCAGGCATCAGCCCTCACCTGTGAGCTCAAGTGGACAACTTGAAAAGCCTTCTGCTGCACTTTGCCACAGGGAGTCTGTCAGCTCATTTCATCCATCAAATAAGCCCACAGCCAGCAGTAATAGGTCTCTGCTGTACAGCCCTGATTAAAAACCAGGGGCACAGCCACCAAGTGTCATCGCTGTGGTATTTCCTGCCCAGAGGAACAAATGCTGCTTCCCACCAGCTTCCAGCTTCCCTTCCATAAGCAAGGAAGGTCTCACCTGAATGTACCTGCCATGAAGGCAGATGCAACCAACTTGAATGTCTGTGAATGACCATGCCCCTGCCCAGGATCACTGTCTGGGGGACAGGCAGGTGTTTCTTGGCTAGCAGTGTAGCAAACAGGATGGTCAGCTCCACCTTTGAAGCAGCTCAGATGCAATTGAAATTAATCCCTTATGGAACCCTCCTGGCTTCTGCTGAACTACAACACAGATGGGTCTGGCTCACTGTATGCAGCAAAAGCCACTTAATTACAGCAGCATCTCAATTTATTTGTTTTGGAACATCCTTATTAGCCATCGCTTAAGCTTGTAATTAAGGGAAGAATAGGGACTGTAAAAAGAGTACCATCCTGTGCTGCTGGCCTTCTCCTGTGCTGCAGCAGCTGAGTGTTGCTCCAGTCTGCTCAACACCTTCAGGACTCTCTCCCCTCCTGTATGGATAGCACTGCTGTCACCTATGCTCCAAATTGCTTGCTATATTCCTGGAAAAGCATGGCTGTATTTTCCTGGGACATTTCTAATTGACTTGGATGGAATATCTGATGCCCCAAACGCCCTGAAGGTACAGCATGAGCAGCAGGTGCCTCCTGGAGGGATTGCTGCTCATCTCTTCAAATAAACACCCAGGTAGGTTAGTACTTTCTCACACAGTGGTAGAGAGCATCAAAATTCTTGCAGAGATCCTGGCAAGAAAAATGAAGGCCTGAGGAGTGAGATCTGAGGCTCACACGGTAACTAAAGGAGCCCAGACCTTCTCCTTAGGAGAGAATCTGCTCAGAAACACAAAGCTACAGCACAGCTCTCATTGTGGCTCTTGTCATGTGCTTAAATCCTTGTGTTCAGTGGAGGTGTAGCTGTTCAGGTGCTTCTTCTCAGTTCCCAAGATGTCTCTGTGATTTTCAGCCTGCCTCTGTACCACTGTCCCAAGTCTCCTCCTCGCAACCCTACATCTTGATTGCACTCTTAGGGCTGCAGAGCTGCTGTGACCAGCACCACACAGCAATTTTCCACCATTCCTGCACTGAGACTCAGTTTTTGTTTGTGCAGCCCACTTCTGGGGTTCCTACATCTTACTTTAAAGGTGGCCTGAACAACCACAAGCATCAGCAGAAAGCTTTAATGATCTCTGTGTTTTTAACAGGGACTGAGTATCTCATCCACATCACTGTGATGCTTGCTTCTGGACCAGGACCCACCATGGCCCGTGGGATAAGCTCTGCTGCCAGGAGGTTCACAGGTGAGTGGCAGGGATGCATCTCCAACCCAGCATCTTTGCAGGTGCCCTCCTAGTGGGACAAAGGGCTGGACTTGGCTTTGAGAGCTGGCAGCTCCAGTCAAGCATTTCTGTGTAGTCCAGGAGGAAATTCTCTGAAATGGCATCCATCCCCTATAAAACCAGGAAAAGCTCCTGTTTGTGGTGCAAGGGAATGTACATCAGCTGTCAGGGTCTGCTCACAGGACAGGGGAGAAGGCTGGATGTTGTATTTTTGTGTGTGTGAGAGCTGTTACAAGCTGCAGAGCAGTGTTTTTCCTTTATTTATTCAAACATCTCAAGCAACAATAGGTTGCTGGACTGGGAGGGGAGAGGATGAGTTTGCTCCTCCTTTCTTCAGAAGCCTCAGCATCTCACAGTGCTCTTGATCACTCCTGCTTGGTGAATGATCCCGTGGTAAATGTGGAAGTGCAGTGTGGAGAACCCCAGGGCTGTGTTTGTAATGAAGAGCCATCTCCAGGCTACACCACACGAGGTTATTTGTGTCCTGGTACAGCCTTTGTTTGCAAACAACAGCCTCTCTAGGTAACCACACAACAGAGCACAAGAGCCTACTTATTTGCATCTGCCTCTGCTCATAATAGTGAAGGAAGGGAACCCATCTGTTTGGGCAAGGGAGGAAGAAAAATACAGCAGAGGGAAGTTGGTTACATTTATAATACAGGCAGCTCGGAGAAAGAAGCCCATGATTGTAGAGATGTAGATAAATCTAGTGATTACTCTTTGCTCAAAGTTCAAGTCAAGTAATCTAACCAGGAGCCTGACAAGAAAAACAGAGACAAATACATCATTCCTTCCCTACTGGCATCACTTCTTGCTCAAAGACAAAACCCAAACCTCTCTGGCTGAGTTACAGTCCAGTAACTGCAGCCTTTTACTGACCCTATGTCCATCCCACGACCTCTTCTGCACTGACTCATCACAGCATCTGCTGTCACCTCCCCAAAGTCCTGGGGACCAGCTTTACCACCAAAAAACCGACCTGTTCAAAGGTTACATTTTAAAATGCCAGTCCTGGGCTCCCTGAAGATGATCCAGCCCATGAAGAGAAAGCTGGCAGGTCTGTCACAGTCTTGCCTTTGCTTGTTACACTCAGTTGGCGAGCTTTACAGATCTGTTCTGAAGGTTGCTGGAGGCTGGTTAGTTTGTTTTAAAGTCAGGGCAGCAGCAGACAGGCATCCACTATTAAAAGGAGAAATTTTAAAAATTCATTTTGGCTTTAAAGCCAGCTGCCTGCTTTTGACAGGCTGAAGGATTTTTTATGTCTGGATATTCCTGACCTGCAAGGTGAGGGAGGGGATGTGCTGTCATGGAAGAGGATTTGAGCAGCTCCAGCAGACAGAGAGGATCCTCCACCTTCTTCAACAAGGGTTCTGTGCTGACTTGTGAGAGCCTTTAATCAGACTTCAGGTACCCTGGCATGGCCACATCCAGCCATCCCTTGAGCTTTGTTTCCAAAGCAAAGTTCCAAAATCAGACCTTTCTATGCCAGCACTAGCCTTTCTTCATTTCCCTCCTCCCCAAATCCTATGAGAAGGGAAAAAAATTACATTTAGTGCTGCATATGACTTCACATTTGCGTTTTATAAAGGGGTTGGCATGAAGGCCATTTCACCCTAAGGACATCCCGTTGGACAGATAAGGTGCTGTTATCTGAGGTTGCTCCCTTGGTCTCTGAATAGTTTTGCTTAGGTTGAGAGAACATTTCTCAGCAATTGCATAAAAATTGTCTGGTTTGGTGCACTTCTGACACATTTTGCAAAAATACTTGATGTGCCACAAAAGGAACCACTCAAATGAGAAAGAAAAATGTTTCTCAGCCAGAAAAGTCATGGAAGTGAAGAGCTCACAAAAGTTCAGCTGGTGACCCCTCAGCCCAAACTGTCCACAGCATCACTAGGGTTTATATTTGGATGATGTTCTCCCAAGACTGAGTCATATTTCCTGCCTCGATTTGCTCCAAAAGGCTGGTGTTTCAGGCAGGGTCCACATTTCAGTCTGAGTCACACAATAGTCAGGAGTGGCCCTTTCTGCTGCTTTTGGGTGGACTTGGATTACCCAGCACATATGAAAATTAGACCCAAGCTGAGTAAACAAATATTGATCTACTCAACCTTGGGTCACAGCTGAGAAGAGCGTTCTGAAGGAGTATATTGAAGGGGCTGGATCACATCAGAGGGTATAAATGCAGGATGAAATTCAACCCAGCTCCAGGGAGTTTGCAACCTCAGTACAATCAATAGGAGCATCTGAAAACGCTGGTCTCATTTGTGTTACAAAAACCCCGTGTCTCTGAGTGGTTCCTCCTTTAGCAGCTGAGTGTAAGAAAATAATTAATGAACAGTCCAGAGCTGCTGAAAAGAGGAGGGGGAGTGATGTTGAAATGCTGTGTGTTGGGGGCACGTGGAGCTATAGTGGATTTGGATGGGAGCAGAGGCATTGCCTGTTTGAGGGAAAAGCAGGGCAGTGGGATAGACTTGCTTGAGAGATGATTAGTGCTGACCCACACCCCATCATCATTCAGGATACGACGCTCCTTTCAGACCGAGACTTGCACTGCTGAACGCGCTACGTGGTAATTTTCCAGGTACTTGGCCATTTGACTTGAGGGTTTTTTAGAACATGCTGGATGAGATGTGATGTCTTGTGAGCACTGGAGGGGAGGCAGCAGAGTGGATTTTTCCCACTGTGGTGAATTAAGTAGGATGTGCTGCCTTCCCAAGCAGAGTCCCTGACCTTCCCATGTCTCTGCAGGGTCACAGTTTATTTGCTAACACCTTACAGAAAAGCCAGAGCCAGCTGGTCTTTCCTCAATGGTCTTGAGCTTTCCTCCATAATCCACATTGTGATTCAGGAGAAAAATTCAGACTATTGAAGTTGGTATATTCAGACCAATAAGGCTGACTCATTGCAGGCCTGATCCCTGACCAGCAAAGTCTCTGGGATTACCAAGAAAATTATTTTCCAGTTAAAGGATGGCTTGGGTCAGAAGGGACCTTAAAGATCATCCAGCAAACTGTCTAGTCAGATGGGTTTTCCCTGTTTTCTTCCCAGCAGGACACAAGGACGGGAGCAACCATCCATCAAAGCACATTGTCACCAGCGTGGCAGACAGCAAGCCCCAGGTGTGGAGGGGACAAGCTCTCACAAGCTCACTTTTTTTGGGCCTGGTTCCTGTTTCACATGGCAGCAGGTTGGCCTCGACCTGGTGCTTGCCCCAACAGAGCAGGACACGGCAGCTTGAAAGGGACTGTTGGGAGAAGAACAGCTGAGAGCCACAACGATCCCAGCACGTGTATAAATAGAGACAGAGCTGTTATCCTGATGAAATGAGACCAGATGTTTCTCCCAAATCCCTCCTCTCTGCTAGCGAAAATTATAGTTTAGTTACAGCAGGGCAAAGCAGGCAGCAAAATATTTTCAACCAACTAATGCAGGGAAGTCAAAGGGGCAAAATGCCTCACTAGGGTAGGGGTACCATGCCCTGTGATGCTGCAGGGATGGATTGAGCATGGTCAGAGTGGGAACAAGAGGAGTCCCTCACTGCCTTTGTTCTATTTTTCTGCTTCCTATCCCAGTATTAATGGGCTGAGTTTTAAAACCCATGCTGCAGCCGCTTTTGTGAGGTAGAAATTCAGTGTCAGCACATGTATCCTGGAGGCAGTTGGCACAAGATGAAGGAGGGATGGCAGCAGCAGTTAAAACTGGGCCTTGGCTCTTTAATATTTAACTTTCCCCAGTGCTGGGCTTTTTTTTTTTTTAATCAGTTTGTGCATTATCTGCCATCCCGTTCAAAGAGGGTTTTAGCACAGAGATTTCAGTGCTTAATCCCAGGGGCAGGGAAAGTGGAAGAGTCTCTCTGAAGGTTCCAGGGCTCAATCTGGCCTCAATTACACCAGCCTAAATCAGCAAGGAGTGGCCACCACAGACTTTGCAGTGGCCACATTGGGCTGCAGGTAACAAAACTGGGGGTCAGTCCTGTATCTCTCCAGGAGATACCTCTGGTCCCTAAGGCTCCATCCATAAGGGAGCTCCCAGGAGGATCTAAACATCGTCAGACTGTCTCAGAATAAACGTGCACCTTGGGCAACAACTAGGGCCTGGCTGTGGCCAGCTGCAGATGCTTAGGAAGGGATATCGGAAGAGGGAGAGTATAAAGTGATCCTTCCTCCGGCATTTCCTCCTGGCTCCTGGTAATCAGCAGTTGAGGGACTTCCTACGCCGGAGGTTGCATGAATTTGTGTAATCCCTTTTGTTTGTTTTTTTTTTTTTTCTCATTCATTTATACTTTTGGCCTCCATGACATCCTGTGGCAATAAGTTCCACAATGTAATTATGTGTTGTGTGAAAAAGTACTTCCTTTTGTCTGCTTCAGACCTGGCTCATGAACATTTCTCTCCATGTTCTTGTGTTGTGAAGAAAACAGAAAAAAAAATCCAGGTCCATACAGACCTCTCTTGACCTCTTCAGACGTCTCTGTCTTTATTTGCCCCAAGGTTTTGTTCTTCCAAACTGGAGTCTCCTTGTTTTTCTAGTCTTTCCTCCTCATATGGTATCTATCCCATCACTTCCACTGTCCTTACTGCCCTCCTCCGTGTCTCTTCTCATTTTCTTATTGCCTTTTTTTTTTTTTTTTGAGATAAGATCACTGAAGTGAGACTTGCTCATTTCTGAAGACATGAATTCATTCTCCTGGAAGAAGGTCAGCGCAAAAGCTTTCTTTTCTCAAGCCACACTGGTGTACTTTTAGTTCTTTAACAACATACAGCAGTCTTGGGCTTAACAAAAATACACGTGCAGCTCTCTTGGATTTAATCTATTCTGAGCAAACCCCCAGCCCTAATTAAACTAGAGTCTGTGGGTTAAAACGATATTCACAAGTCAATCAACTAATAGGGCTGGTTTACACGAAGGGAATTTCATGCATGTGCTTATATTACTGCTCATTTATGCCTTCACAAATCCCCTGAGCACTACTGGTGGAGAAGACCCCCAGCCAGAACAGCTGAACTGGTGAGCATGAAACTTGGGAGTCTCTGATTTCCAGGACATCTTTATTTATAAAATATGTCTATTTTTGCTCCTGTCATGCCCACAAAACCAGCCTTCCTATTTTAGTCATCCCTGCTCTTTATCATTGTTTATGTTGCCCTGAACCCCACAAATAAAGGCTGGAGAATGAATTTTGTCTTCCTCTGCCATGTGAATTTCAGAAACCACACTAGCCAGTCCTTCCAGACCTTGCTGTTAGGATGGCTTGATCATACTTGCAGATAAAACCAGTCCTCACTTGATGGGAACCAGTAGCTGCTGTTTTACGTCGCTCCTGCATAAATGCTGTCCCAGGATTGTGTGGCAGCTTTTTAAATCTCCACTTTTGGCAGAAGCTCAGCAGTCACATCCTTCCCTCACTACACGCCAGCTCCTCTCCTGCCTCACAAAGCAGCTCCATCCCCCTTTCCCCCATGTCCGCCTGTGCGAATTTCCTGCAGCAGGGAAAGAGCTCAGGCTCCTGCGAGGGATGGGGATGTCTCTGGGAGGCTGGTGGCAAGAAGGAGGCTGTGGGGAGGGTAGGAGGGGAAAACCTTGAGGAGTTTATTGGGTTGTGGCCACTAAATGATAAGCTGGGAGAATATGTACATTTTATATTATCAGGAGCATTGGGAATGAGCAGGGGCAGAGAGCACGTAGGAGGGAAAAACTGCTTTTCCTACTGCTTTATGGTATTATTATGGCAATTTATGCAGATGTCTGCTCTGGAAGGAGAATCCTGCACACCCTCAACTCCCAGAACTTTGGAAACCACGCTGCAGAACATGTTTTAGGGTGGGAAGGAGCAAGGAAATGTTACTGGGTGCCCCAGTCGTGCTGTTTCTTTGCAGGATCACCCCTGTCACAGTGCTGAAGAGTCAAATCCTCTCCAGATTTCATCCTGTTTAACTCTTCCTGGTTAAAAGGGTAGTTTTAAAGACCTTTATTTCCCAGAAAATTGAGGGTGACACCATTAAGCTCACTGAATCTTTCTTTCCCCTGGTCCTGTCTCTTACATCCTACACCTCAGGAAGTGCTGAACCCACTGGTTTGTTTTAAACAAAACAGAGGGATAAAGGTCCAAGAGCTAATCCTAGCTCTGTGAGATCCTATAAGCCTCTCCACTGAGGGTGTCTATCCTTTGCCAGGTATGAATCTGTAGGAAACTGGACTACACCAGTTCTGCCAATCATGAAACAACCTAACATTTGGAAGAAGGAGGTTTCTTCATTTTCCAACTCAGCCTGGAAATCACAGCAGGGTGCATATGCCCACCCATCCAGCTCTCTCCCAGCTGGGTAGAGAATGACCCAATTGTAGGCCAAGATTCAGGTCAAGTTCTCAGTCAAGCATGAGACAGAAACTCACAGAAATGAGGTTTCATCAATTAATTATGGGGCTGGCAGGACATTTTTCCTCCACTGAGGAGGAAATGCAGCTTCCATCACAGACACAACTATGTGATGTGAGGGTACTCCAACTCACTTGGATCAGGAAGGCAATGTTCACTGCCACTGTGCAAGCCCTCAGCTCCCAAGAGGAGCTTTTGGGAATTCCTAAGACAAACCTTCATGTTCCAGCAATGGCTTGGGACCTGTCAAGCTGCAGAGCTCACAAGAGTTATGGTCCTTCCTTTCTAAGTGAAGTTGCTGTTCTTCAGCCACAACTTGCTGTGTAAACCCTCTTATTCTGCTCCACTGCAAAAGAAAACAAGATGACAGAAGTGTGGTTAGGTGTGGGAGCTGTTACCTACTTTAAAGCAGCTTTATGGCAGTATAACTGCTACAGGTCCACACTGAATCAACTGCTCTTTCAATCAAGAAAAAACTGTTAGTGCCCCTAAGTTGTGTACAGAGGTGAGCCCTTGGAAACAGCCTGTGCTAATGGAGATAATCACTGGATCTGAGTGCTTGGGTGAACCCACACAGTTCATATCGATCGTGGACAGGTGCAGACTCAGTCCAAGAGATTACAGAGATGGAACCCAAAGTAAGCTGAACCCCTTCGCCCACCTTCCCTGAAAATTCAAGTCACAATGCCATGATTCAAAAGACACTGCAGAATGCATGCTTTATTCACAGCTGTTCTGTTCTAGACTTTTAAAGAGCATGTACCTTAAGCACTGGGAAATCCACCAAAATACAAAAGAGAAATAGAAAACTGAAACACGGTGTGCTTGGGGAGGTCAGTAAATAGACATTCAGGATCAACCAGCCCGCAAACCCCCTAAACAAAATGCACTTAATCAGCTGCCCTCCTTTCCCGGCAGCACATCTTTCCTGCACTCACACAGGCTGTTTCCCTCATGTACCTGAGAGAAACAGCCTGTGTGAGCGCATGAAAGATTAATCAGCCTCGGTAAGGCGTGCGAGCGCCGGTCTGAGCCTGGGGAACCCCACGGCAGGCGGTGTTGGACACTAACCCATCACCCCGGCGGTACCGGGAGAACGGGCCGCTGTCAGAGCCGTGCGGCCCCAGCCGGACTCTCCGGATCTGTATTCCCCGGGGACGCCTCTCCCGAGCCGCGACTCCGCTTCCCGCCGCGGCGCTGAGGGGAGGCACCATCTTGGGTCCCCTGCGGGCTGCCAGGGGACGCCCCGCGCAGCGAGGCGGCCTGAGGCGGCCTGAGGGGCGGGCGGGGCCGGGCAAGGGCCGCCGGCGGCTCCGAGGGCAGCGGGGGCAGCGCCTCCCGCCACCGCCCGCCTCCCCTCAGGCCACGGGCGGGGCGCCGCGGCTCCGCCCGCGCTGACGCGGAGGGCGGGGAAGAGGCGGGCCGGGGGCGGGAGGAAGGCAGGCAGGGAGGGAGGGATGGAGCCGCGCTAAGGCGAAGCGGGGCCGGGGCGCAGCGCGGGCGGTGGCGGCGCCTCCTCGTCCCCACGGCAGCATGGAGGCGGCCGCGGGAGCGGCGGCGGAGCCGGCGGCGTGGGCGGCAGAGCCCTTCGCGGAGCCGGAGCCGGGCCCGGAGGAGCTGGAGGCGGGCAGCGCGCTGGACCGCGTCCTGCGGGAGTCGGTCTGCCAGCAGCAGGGCTGGGTCCGCGTCTACGGTAAGTAAGGGGCGCCGGGGTGGGAGCGGCGGAAAACTTCCCGGCCCCAACTTCTTTCTCCCTGCTGCCGAAGCTCCCGGTTCCCCGCGGCTCCCTGCCTCCCCGCGGGCTCCCGGAGCCCCGGGCTCGCCCCGCGCCACGCCTTCCCCGCGCCCGGGCTGCGGGATGCTCCGGTGCTGGGATCCGCGTCCGAAGCTTTTGTGTGCCCGGGGTCCCGGGATGCGTGTCCGGGATGCGGGTGCCGGCAGGGCTGAGCGCTCCCGGATCTAATTAGTATTAATGAGCAGCTAAAGGCCTGGGAGGTGCTGATATCGCGGGTCCCGTCGCCCCAGACTTACTGGTCTGTGTTACATTGGCACCTTTATAATTTATGAAAAGGATGTTAGGATCTTCAGCGGTGCAGGACGCGGGGCTGTTTCCCCTTCTTTGTCAAACTCTCCCTGGTATGTAACCTTTTAAAATTAGCTTGATTTATGTGGCCGGGCCTCTGGTTTGTTTAGGCTCCCAGCTGAAATGCAGTCGGATTTTATCTCTCGATCAGCACCTAAATAGTGGAAATTCTGTTTTATCTTTTCCTTGTCTCTGCCTCTTGTTTGTCTTGGTAATCTGAGGATAATTACTCCCACGTTTCAGAGTGAAGAGTACTGCAGGCATTATTTTGTTTTCCCTCCTGTAACAAATTTGATGGTCCAGCCTTGAAAAGGCACCAGTTGTGGTGTGTGCACATGTTACCTTTGTTTGATATTATTATTGTTGCCCCTTCGCTGGAAGTGTTCAAGGCCAGGTTGGAGCAACCTGGTCTATTGGAAAATGTCCCTGCCCATGGCAGGGAAGTTGGAACAAAACCATCTTTAAGGTCCCTTCCAACCCAAACCACCCCATGTTTCTATAATGATGAAGAACCTGTAAAAACACTTTTTTCTTTGGGACTTTTTAACATGTTTTATGCTGGTGATTGTCCCTTTAATCTTCCTCACCTGTCCTGAATCCCAACAAGATTGTCCAGGTTTTCCCTGACCTGTAAAACTAGAAGCAAATGCTCTCTGTTACCTGTGTCATTGATCTGTTACCGGTTGTGTTATTCCTGAAACACAACAATGACATGAATAAGTTATCTGCAGCGACTCTTCTGCATTTCTTGGCTGATGGCAGGTAATTATTGTAAGTACCACCAGCCTGAGCCTTCACACATGTCAAATGAGGAAGATCAGGCTGCAGGTTTTCTGGAGAGCATGGTCTGTTCAAAGACCTTTGTGTTTATTTTGGAAGCTTGAAAAGCTGGTCCCTCATCCCTCACCCGGGATGAGGTTGTCTGTCTGCTTTCTGTCTGGTACATCAATGAGCAAAGTTATACTTAGGAGAATTAATTGTAATAGAAGTTTGGGATTTTTAGTAGTTTGCACTGTGTTTAGCTTGCTGCTTCTTGCTTACCTTGCTTTTGTTAATCCCAGCCTAGAGCTGAGACTATAAAATGCAGCCTTATGCAAAAATATCTCTCTGCTGTTGTTGAGAGGAGTTCCAAAGAAAGCCATTTGCCTTCAGATTGTTTGTTTGTTGAGAATACTTTCTAAAGGTAAAATGAGAACGTACTTAAGAAGGGGATGTCTGGCACCAGTCTATCTGATTGTTACCCAAAGTTGTATCTTCCATGAGTGGAAGCAGGAATGCGGTTTCAAAATTAGCCACAGTGAGGAACATTGCTTGTTGATAAAGTCATATGTTGTGATGTGCTTGTAGTTTGACGTTAACGTGTAGATAAATGGGGGAAAATCCACTGTGACAAGGCCCAGCTAGCTCAGAGGCTATAAAAATCAGCATACACTTCAAGCATGTAAAAATACATCTCGTAGCCCAAGGACAATAACTAATTATTCCTAGTCTGTGTTTAAAAACAACTCATTATCCCTCTCCTTCATAAAGAATCTCATGTGGTAGTGTCATCTGTCCTTTCCCTAAGAAATTGCAATTGGATTAGCTAGTATTTGTTTGCTTCCTCCTGCTTGTTAGCTTTTTTTTTTTTTTTTTAAATTTTTTTTTTTTGCGTGAGCACATCTGGAGAAGTTTGTGGACAATGAATTAAGCTGAAACTGTGCCATGTTTGTGCACAA